AAAAAACCTGACACACGGGGCACCCGGGTGGCTCAGTCAGTTCAGCATCCGTCTTCGGCTCAGGTCATGATCTCACGCTCTGTGAGTTCGAGCCCCGCGTCGGGCTCTGTGCTGACAGCTCAGAGCCTGGAGACTGCTGCAGATTCTCTGTCTCCCTCTCTCTGCCCCTCCCCAGCTAGCTCTCTCTCTTTCTCTCTTTCAAAAATCAATAAACATTTAAAAAAAAAACTGACACACGGATTAAATTATTAATGTAGAGCCCAAGAGAAGGTGGGTAGAGAAAAGCATGCTCACCTGGGATTTGTCTGCTCTGAGCATTTATCCCTTTAGAGCTGTCTACCCCATTTTATTTTTTTAAGTTTATTTGTTTATTTTGAGAGAGAGAGAGAGAGAGAGAGAGAGAGAGAGAGAGAGAATATATGAATAACCCAGGCAGGCTCTGCACCATCAGCACAGAGCTCAATGTGGGGCTCGAACTCACAAACTGTGAGATAAAGGCCTGAGCGGAAATCAAGAGCTGGATGCTTAACCGACTGAGCTACCTAGGCATCCCTGTCTACCCCATTTTAATGGAGGATGGTAACGGCGGGGAAAAATATCTTACTGGGGTCTGGTGAAGTCCTCAGGCAGTAAGGGTGGTCCCCAAGGAGGAAAAAAGCTAAGTCCTTTGTCACACAAGACAGTAGACCTTCCCACCTGAAGAGGAGTCTGCTCCCCGACGACCTGTGTCACCTGCCACTCGGAAGAGAAAGCCAACAAATAAAAATTATGCAAGATCCAGAGTGTCGGAGAAGACCCACGGGGGGTTCCTTCTCGACAACATGACTCACAGGAGGCCGCCTATGGTAGACAGAAGAACGTGCCCCTCCCCCACCCCAGACGTCCACGCAGAATCCCCAGGACCCGTGACTCTGCCGTACGCACAGGGCTGTGGGGATAGGATTCGGGCTGGAAACGCCGAGATAGGGAGAGGATCCAGGTGGCCCTAACTGCAGGAATCCTTGAAAACTAGACGTCTTGGCTGCAGAGAGAGAAATGAGAAGAAAGGAGGGGAGAGGAGAAACACGAGAGGGGCCGGGTCCACTGTTGCTGGCTCTGAAGGTGAAAGAAGGGGGCCCGCAGAGGCTAAGAGCAGCCCTGGCTGACAGCCAGCAAGACCACAGGGACCTCGGTCCTGGAACCGCATACAGGACCAGAAGGAGCAGGGGACAGATCGCCCCCTAGAGCCTCCAGAAAGGATCACTGACCTTCCCACACCTTGGTTTTAGGCTGGCAAGACCCCAGCCGGATGACTGACCTACAGAACCATAGGACAGCACCTGCTGTTTTAATGGTGGCAATTTTTTATGCCAGCAATAGAGAACAGATACAGCACCCGTGGCACAAGTGATTTTTTTTTTCCTCTTAAAGACACAGCCAGGCATCACTCAGAGCTGGGAGAAAAGAAAGGAAAGAGGTGGTTTTTCTGGCAGGTGGTGGTTTTGTTTTGATGGGGCAGAGCCTGGCTTGTGTGGTCTCCACCCCAAACAGCTTCAGCGATAAGAAAATCAAGGTGGCTGCTTCATGATAATACAATGATCCAAGTCTCACAAGGCAGGCGCAGGAGGGCAGTATTAACTGAAATGACCTGCAAATTGACGTACAAAAATCCTGTGTTTTTCCCTCGGAGCAAAGGACAAAGGGGCGCCTGGGTGGCTCAGCTGGTTAGGCGTCTCAGTCTTGGTTTTGGCTCACGTCACGACTTCGTGGTTTGTGAGTTTGAGCCCCACGTCGGGCTCCCGGCTGACAGTGTGGAACCCGCTTTGGATTCTCTCTCTCCCTCTCTCTACCCCTCCCTTACGCTCTCTCGCTCTCTCAAGATAAATAAATAAGCATAAAAAAAAGGCAGGGGGGAGGAAAAGTTGTTCATTGTAGGGAATAAAGCCAATATCCTACTCATAGGCTTTAGTGGGCAATTCAGCTATCAGGTTTAATACCCTCATCATCATGAAAAGAGGGGGAGGAAAACTTAAAAAAAAATTGTTTAATGTGTATTTAGTTTTGAGAGAGAGACAGAGAGCCAGAGTGCAAGCTGGGGAGGGGCAGAGAGAGAGGGAGACACAGAATCGGAAGCAGGTTCCAGGCTCTGAGCCGTCAGCACGGAGCCCGATGTGGGGCTCGAACCCACGAACTGTGAGATCATGACCCGAGCCGAAGGCAAACGCTTAACCGACTAAGCCACCCAGGCGCCCCTAGGAAAACTTTTTTAAAGACTCTGCCTTTTAAACCCCTTTGGTAGTTTTTTCACCCCTTCCAATTGGATTTTTCCTGACTATTGAATGTAGAGTAAGGCCTCGTATCTAAAGACAGAAGAGTTTGAGTCCCGAAATACCTACAAGACGCACACACCAATAAAGAACTTTTAAATCTAGCCTCACACTTTCTCATCAACTAGAATGTTATTTCTAATACGTCTGGCATTTATTTTGCAAACATTGATTACACAGCTACCAGGTGCCTGGCAATGTCCTTGGCTCAAGAAAGACAAAATAAGTCCTTGACAAACCGAGCAAGGAAACTGCTATGACGGGACAGTGTCAAATACTTACTCCTAAAGGCACAGGGGTGGTGACCTGGACACATGTAGTGGCTACTCCCTGGGAAGAAGGGAGTTCGCTGGTCAGCTGGAGATTCTTTTTTTTTTTTTTTTTACATTTATTTATTTTTGAGACAGAGAGAGACAGAGCATGAACGGGGGAGGGTCAGAGAGAGAGAGAGAGAGAGAGAGAGGGAGAGGGAGAGGGAGACACAGAATCCGAAACAGGCTCCAGGCTCTGAGCGGTCAGCACAGAGCCTGACGCGGGGCTTGAACTCACGAACTGCAAGATCATGACCTGAGCCGAAGTTGGACGCTTAACCAACTGAGCCACCTAGGCGCCCCTGGAGATTCTTGACATGGGGACCGAACAGAGCTTTGCCGGCACGCACACAGCACAGAGCAGGCAGCCATTCACGTAAACACGTAGGAATGTTACCTTTCCTGAAGAACATACAGAAATTACTATAATCTAAAGACTGAGTGTAAGCAAGCTCAGCCAGTCAGAGGACGAGAACACCACAGCATTTCTCTAGATCAGGCTGTTTAAAACCACGCGGCGAACGTCAGGTCAATCTGGCAAGCGTGAAACTCACTATGTAAAAAGCAGAGGAAAATTAAGCAGTAAACCTGCACATAACGGATTCCTCCTCCTTTCCCAGCCCTCCTCCCCCTGTCTAAGGGTAAATAAATAAATTGGAGGAACATGGATACCACGCAGGCCCGTCTTGAGTTTCCATTAGCACCTGCTGGCTTGCTGTGAAGGCTGACGCTACTCATCAAAATCACAAGTATATTGGCAAAATTAACCGTAACAGCTAAAGAACAAAACTTACTAAAAGATCGAGAGTTTTTACAATACTAAAACTTGAGGTTTTTAGGGACAAACCTGTATAAATTTGAACTTGACAAGAAGAAAAGAAAACCCACGTGTCAAGAGTGGCCCCCTTTATTATCAAGACTTGGAAACAGGCAGATGAAAAAATATAAGATAAAGTCTGCAGGCTCACCTGGACAGTTCAACTAATCTCCGTACTCTAATTTCAAAAAGTATGTATCACGGAAATGACTTTTTGAAAGGATTTCTAAATACTACTTTCATTAACACCGATCTGGACCGCGAACAGAATGCGCTCGTAAAAAGAGGTCAGATCACCTCTTTCCAATAGAAAGTAACGATCAAGGCAAGAAACGCGAGAACACGATTTCTCGAGCCACGTTTCCAGTTTGGCGAAACACCCGGAGACACAGTCTGACTTCGATTAACTGGAGGTTCTCAAAAGGCCAGAAAACACCCTCGGAAAACAAAAATTAACATTCACTCAAACCTGAGGGATTTTTACAGAGACTTAAAGTTGGAACTTACGTATATTTGATTTCTCTTATATCGCCGGTACAAGTTGTGCATGATGGAGCCCCCGTGGAGCTCCGTCAAGGTGGCCATGTCATCGACGCCCTCTTCGCTCACGGGGTGCATGGCGGTGACCTTCTGGTGGGTAATTGTGCTCTGCTTGTAAGTGAACACCTGGGAGCAGAATGAATTCAGTTGTTTAGTTATCGGCGGTGAATGCTCTCCACAGACGTCTCCCACCTTAAAATACGATCCCAGTACCAGTTTTAGCAACAAGAGCCTGAATTGGCCAAGAAAAAGTACACTGCAGAGAACTTTTTCATTTTCCCTGTGCGCCTATTTTTAGAGGAAGCAATCATTTGACAATTGCTATTAGATATTCCTAAAAGACATTATTAGCTCAAGTACTAGCCATCCCTTGGAGGACACAGGAATCTTAAATTCACAGTTCGCTTCTCTGCAGATTTCTCCTGTTGCTATACATCAGTAAGGGTTAGGACCCTGGGTAGGGTAGGATCCCAGGGTTAGGACCCTGGCTAACCAAACTTTTAGAAAATAATTTGGCTTCCCTGCATAATGTTTCCCATGGGATCATACAGCATATCTCAAAACTTCATCATAAAAGCTCTTCAATTTAAGTGTTACATAAATTCACCCTGGCAGTCTCCACGTTTGTTCAAAGAGTGGAACGCACCTTCCCAGGAATGTTCAAAAAGATGTCCTTGGAATCTATCTCCTCTCCACCAGGATATGTAGCAAACAAATGCCTTCTCAGATTTAAAATAAAACTGGTGTGTTTGTCTATCTTGCTCAAAATTCCAAACACCATTGATGAGTGCCACATACACGCGGTAGGTAGCATGTACATGACAGAATTCTGATATTTTAAGACTGATTACTGAATTTCCATGCATTTCTGAAATGCTTTTGTGCCACTGATTTGATTAAGGACTTAACCATGTTGGGGCACCTGGCTGGCTGGCTGGCTGGCTGAGTTGGTAGAGGACGCAAGTCTTGATCTTGGGATTTTAAGTTCAAGCTCCATGTTGGGTGTAGAGATTACTTAAAAACAGAATCTTACAAAAAAAAAAAAAAAAAAAAAAAAAAAAGGACTAACCATATTAAGTCAGCTCCCGTCTGATGATCAAAGTTTGGCCAGCTTTACATATAAACTCACGTACATAACAAAATCATTTGATTATGGCGTCTACTCCATAATTATTCACTTTATACTTTTATAATACTCATCCTTTAAAGACATGAATATATAAAAAAAGGACCTAAATAACATGAAAAATGCACAGTCTTCACAGGCACATGTATTTCACATGTGCACATGCACAAAACGACTTTCTGGAAGAGTATCTGCAGAACTTCCTGACTGGGGAATTCTATTTTTAAATATCAACCAGATGCCTACATGGCAACAAATAGTATGTTATTGCAAAAGAGAATGACACACGAAGGAAAGCAAAAGTACCAATCCAATGGTTTCCAGTAGCCATGGAAAAGGGCAGGTTTTATTTTTCTAGAGAAAAAAATAAAACTTCAGCCGTGGCATTTGTGCCACATGAACCACAAAAGTTGGTCAAAACCAGTCCTGAGAAAGTGCTGGAGGCCAGGGCAGACACCAGAACCATCCTTTCTCAGGACGAGCCACTCTCCCCAGCTGCTTCCTGGCCGAACATCCACCAGGAGATGCTCCAGACCCAGCGGCCCCACCTCCTGGCAAGGAAGCCAACCCCCCACCTCACCCCCTGCCACGGAGGCACCCACAGGGCAGGCCAGGCCTGGGGCCCGAGTGGGGAGTGCAGGGTGGGGTATGCTACGGCCAAGATAACAGGTATTAAAGAAAACGCACAGGGACATTCAAGAGCATAGGCATGCTTCTAAGACACCGACTTTCCATCCTAACTCATGGAGGAACGTCGAAGGAACAGAGATTTAGGTCAAACGTAGAAGTCGTCTTGGGGCAATCCGGAAAATCCCAGAAGTGAACGGCTAAAAAAAAAAACCCTCTGCCCTTCCCCAGCTTTGCCTCATGCCAACGATGCTAATCCAGGCGGGTTTTCTGGAAACACTAACCATTGGGCTGGCACTGGGGTCTTCACCTGCAGTGACTGTGACGGTGGGGGGACGAAGCAGAACCTGTCTGGCCCTGTGAGCTCCCAGCCAGCTGAGGAGGGCAGAAAAGAGTCCCCGTGTCCCCTCTCTGCTCCCAGAGCACACGGGAGGCGGCTCTTCTCACTCTGCTTGCTCAAAGCTCCTGCCACACAGCAGGCGGGGTGGCTGCCCCAGGTTCCCAGGAAAATGTACCCACAGGAAAGACGACAAGGCACCAGAGTGGGTGCGACAGGCTCCCGCTCAAACTCCCCCAAGACTCACCATCGGCAAGTCCCTCCCAAGGTGGAAACAGCCCTACCTGCTGCTTGAGTATGCTGAGAGTTCCAGAATTTGAGGACAGAAATGTTTTAGAATACGGACATGTCATCTGAATTTATATGGAGTCTGCCTTTTGGAAATAATCATATACAGCCCACAATACTTAGACACTAAGTGTTTATATATGTGTCTATATACATAAAACTAAATACTCATGTCATCTGTAAACATTTCATTGTCTTTTTTCATGCCCTGGGAACAAGACAATGCGTGAGCCAAGATACAGAGGGGGGCACACGGGCACGGACAGAAATGGCTACACACTGTAGAGTTCCCACCTTCATACGTTTATTTGTCTTCAGGTTTTCAGGAGCATGCTGTGTGTAAAACGGGAACACGTGCAGTGGGAAAATCCAGAGAACTAGACCAATCCTTCCCATGGCCTCAAGAAGACAGAATCAAGAGGGCAGATAATAGTTACATAAATAAGAGGGGCGCCTGGGTGGCTCAGTCAGTTAAGCGTCCGATTTCGGCTCAGGTTGTGATCCCGTGGTTTGTGGGTTCAAGCCCCGCATTGGGCTCTGCGTCGACAGCTCAGAGCCTGCTTCGGATTCCGTGTCTCCCTCTCTCTCTGCCCCTCCCCCACTCACATTCTCTCTCTCTCTCTCTCTCTCTCTCAAAAATAAATCAACATTAAAAAAAACAAATAGTTACAT